AAAGACTTTTGGACCAAGACAATAAATATGACTTTGGCAAATGGTGTGCTTGGGGTTTTGGCGTGTGACTTTGTTTTGAGCTGCATTTCTTGTGTTACGCCCATGGCTTATGGATTCCTTATAATAGGAAAATTTTAACATGAATCTAACTACTGCTTTAAGGTGTAACTGTCTAATGTCTAATAACTGACTCTCTTTGAAAAGCAATTCAGTAGGAAACCTTTTATTTTTAAATAACATAATTTTTATGATATATTTTTGTGCAACCTGGAGTTTGTTTAAAACCGTCACTCCGGCACTACCCACTATTTTCGGAACTATTTTCATGCATTAAGTGGTTTTTTACAAATTTGCATTTTTCACAAAAACTTATTTTTAAGTTTAAAAAATGTTTATGTCCCGATAAAGGCTGGATAAATTATGCATAAAGTAGATCATTTTGACACTTGCTGCGATTACAAAAAATGTCACTTTATATGTCAAAATTAGAAAAATTGTATTATAAAACTGTAATTCAAATGTCTGGAAAATGAATGCTGATTTACTGATTTATTTTTTGCTGTATGTTTATAATATAAGATATTGTTTGTTTTATATTCATGGAATTTTGGTACCTGTGATGTATTTTTCTTTTCTTTGTACATTTCTCACTTGCACACACAGATAATATTCTACATTGTAAGGAATTTAATATAAATTATGTATTATTACTACAGTTTATAAGTTTTTCAGGCAACATAATTTCTGTTAAAACTTTGATTTTTAAAAAATGTTCAAAATTGTACTAGAGTACTCAAAGTACTCATACTCGAAAACATTAAAGTATTTTACATTTTAAAGGACTCAATACTTCTGATTCCTCTAGCTGAAGAGTAAAGAGTAAGAGTACTGACACAAGCTTATTTATTATAATAACTCCACCCTGAAAAGATTAAACCATTCCAATATCCTAGAACTTTTAGGGTTGTGGCTTCTTTGGTTTTTTAAAAAAATTTCAACTAAAAATAATACTAATCGATAAATTTAGAATTAAAAAAAAATCTAAATCTTTTTTCTTGTTCCCGGTCCTTCTGATTTCTGCTCTAACTTCTGACTTTCTATACCTCCTGTTCCGACTTCAAAAAAAGAGGAGGTTCTCAATTCGTCAGGATATTTTTTTTATGTATGTTCAGCGATAATTTTTTAACACGGCGTTCAATATTTCTTTTTTGTTAGAAAGGGGGTACTTCCGGGGTGGTCCCATATAAATTTGGTCAAAATCTAATAATTGGATCCATGAGAAAAGCCTCAAACTCTTCATTTTTTATGTAGTTATGTAGATATATCTCTGACAATCATAGTGCTATTCAGAAACGTTAAGGCCCCCGACAATCATAGATAAAGCACAGGCATTATCTCTACAAATTTCGTAGAGCTATCAGGACCTATTTTTTTTATCTATGGAATATAGCCAAATATTAATTGAAAATGTTGATAAGAAAGAATATTTAAAAATCATTGCACAAAAAAGGAGGAGGTTCTCAATTCGTCAGAATATTTTTTTATGTATGTTCAACAATCAATCTTTAACAAGGCGCCCGATTTCAATGATTCTTTTTTTGTTACAAATGGGGTACTTCCGGGGTGCCCCCATATAAATTTGGTCAAAATCTAATAATTGGGTCGATGAGAAAATCTTCAAACTCTTTATTTTTTATGTATATTTAGTGGTAATTCTTTACCACCTTGTCTGATTTCTATGATTCTTTTTTTGTTAGTAAGGGGGTACCTCAAGGGTGGTCCCTATAAATTTGGTCAAGATGTGGTGATGGCATCTGCACGATTTGAAGTCAGTTTTTTAAAATTACTTTTATTAATTAATTTTGATTTTTGTTATTCAATAAATAATCCAAACAATTCTAAAGCATATATTGGACATTTTGAATTTTAGAAATTTGGTGTGGCAATTGGAAACATGATGTTGATTAAATTTCATTTTATTATGATATAAAGTTAGAAAACATTGAAAATTATAAAGGTTGATTTGAGTTCACCCTGTAAAATACTTTTTCATCCCATATACACAATATTTTTTTTTTTTAAATTTGGTCTCAGATAATCTAGATATTAGCTATTCCAAAACCTATGAGACATTAAGTATATTGCAAAATATTAATAAAATAATTAAAAATGTTGATAAGAATTAATTAATATTCAAAGTGTATATTGCAAATTTTGAATTTTAAAAATTTGATGATGTTTGCTTATAGATTTCCAAATGTTACAGTACTTTTTATCTACCAAGGATATTTTTTTTTTATGAAATGTAAGATTAAACTTTTTTCCATTTGAATCGAGTTAAAAAAAAATATTAATATTGTCAACTATCTTAAAGATATATTGTTTTTGTAAATTTATTGCTATTTGAGTCCAATATTTGTTACAATGTTGTAACATGACATTTGAAATAAAGATAATTTGAATTTTTAATTAACATGAAAAATTAAAAAAATGGACTTACTGACAGTTGCAGATTCAGGCATTTCCACTTTAATAACCCTATCACAATACTGCACATTAAATTTTAACTGTCTAGTGCCGCTTTTTCCAGCAGAAGTTGATGGGTAACTGGTATCATTATCTGCTGGTTTCTTTGTTACAGTAGAAGAATGTCCAATGCTGTTACCCAACCCTGCAACATCTGTAGCAGCATCTGCTGTTGCAGCATTAGGGATTTCAGAATCATCTTCGACGATCATCACATCAGGGTCTGGATTGGGGGCACGAAAGCTCTGCGTATCTGGGGGCATGACTCTGCTAACTGCGCGCTTAAAAAACAACAATTAATTGAAATAATCCAAGATAGTTTATGAAGTTTTACTTACTAATAAATCCCAATTAGCATCATCCAAGTGGTAGATAGCTTCTGCAACGTCTTCAATGCCAGTACAAGCCTATTGTTTAGAAAAATTGCATAAAGAAAACGTAAAAAATTAAATCAATTTATCAGCTTTAAACGGTGTGTTCATTACACATGGTACTTACTTGAAAGTCGGCTAGAATTTCCTCTCTGTTTTCGGACATGATTATCGCAAATTTAAGAACAAAGCTTAATAAAGAACAAATAATGTGTATTTAACCTTTTATAAAATTCTTTGACCAGCGCTTAGAATGTCAAATCTTGCCTGTCTGTCATTGTCAAAAATGTTGCCAAGTTAAAGGTCATTTCACATAACAAATTATATTGACGTTTCTATTCTACTGCTGGAGCGCGTTCTGGATTTTACACCGAGTCGACCACCGACCTTGATATTTAAACTGGATGTACATACTTTGATTTTCTTTTACTATACGGAGAATGGTCGCACTGCCCAGCTTTCTGAGTGCCTTTTAAAAGGAGATAGAAAACTCTGCCATTTTGAACCCTTATTACGTGTTGCCTATATCTTGGCGCAATATTTTTAATAGGTGCGTTTTAATCATGCGCTTCTGCTTCGGAATTGTCGGTTTTCTTGTTTTAATCTGACAGGTTAAAACGACTAAACCGACAATTCCGGAAGCAGAAGCGGATGATTAAAACGCACCTGATATTTTGCTTGCTGCTGTCAGTTTCAGTGAATATTATTTTTGAAGTCACACGTTTATTGCTAAAGAATCAGTTAGCTCACTCGGACCAGTTGAAAGTTCCAAAATAACATCCACTCCAGGGATACAAATTCAGGATACGCAGAAGACTGCTGTTTTAATATAGGCGGTTGTCATATATATTGTATTATCGGAGTTGCACAGTGTATAAACTGAAACATTGAGATCAAAAGTGCCGACGCAGAGTGAGCGATCTGATTCTTTAGCTGTAAACTGTGTCACAGGGTTCAAAATGGCCGCGCCCTATGTTGGGCGCCACATACTTTGATTACTATACGAGGCACATACTTTGATTTTCTTTTACTATACGGAGAATGGTCGCACTGCGCAGCTTTCTGAGTGCCTTTTAAAAGGAGATAGAAAACTCCGCCATTTTGAACCCTTATTACGTGTTGCCTACATCTTGGCGCAATATTTTTAATAGGTGCGTTTTAATCATCCGCTTCTGCTTCGGAATTGTCGGTTTTCTTGTTTTAATCTGACAGGTTAAAACGACTATTCCGGAAGCAGAAGCGGATGATTAAAACGCACCTGATATTTTGCTTGCTGCTGTCAGTGTCAGTGAATATTATTTTTGAAGTCACAGTTTATTGCTAAAGAATCAGTTAGCTCACTCGGACTAGTTGAAAGTTCCAAAATAACATCCACTCCAGGGATACAAATTCAGGATACGCAGAAGACTGTTGTTTTATTATAGGCGGTTGTCATATCTTGTATTATCCGAGTTGCACAGTGTATAAACTGAAACATTGAGATTAAAAGTGCCGACGCAGAGTGAGCAATCTGATTCTTTAGGTATAAAACGGTGTCACAGGGTTCAAAATGGCCGCGCCCTATGTTGGGCGTGTCGGACCTCTCTCTTGCCTCGTATAGCAATCTAAGTATGTGATGCCGAATTTTAAAAGTAACGAGACAAGTTCGTATGATGGAAACCTGTTAAATTAGAACATAACAGGCAGAAAAGAACAGTAATGTGTTGGAAAAAGTTTTCCATCGTACGAACTTGCCTTGTTACTGTTAAAACTCGGCCTAACATGTACGTTACGGATAACGTAAACGTTCAATCATACGACCCCTTATATTTATTTAGTAATATTATGCAGAACCAACTCTCCATATCGACCTAATTATTTTCCAAAAAGTTTCGAACTAGTTCCATACTTTATTTTATAAAATAATTTATGTGGAAATCATTTAAAATTTAATTTAGAACTACTACTAAAAATTACAATTTGAATTTACCGACATCTGTCATTTTAGTTCTTGTTCCAAACACAAGGTGGTGCTAATTTGGTTTAAAAGTCTACCATTGGCGTGGGATCTTTAGAAGATACGTGCTTTGTGGTAGGAACGCTCTCATGAGTTCGAGAATAGGGTATCAGTAGTCTAGCAAAATAAATGTTTAGTGATTATTTTTTAAAATACTAACAAACAAAAGATACGATCGTTTAAGCTCCCTCTGTGTAGTGTAGAATTCCTACTTCAAACGTACATTCAGGACTAGTTTCCGATATCCAGTGACGGTACTGTTTTAGAGGGATATATTCAATAGCTATTTGCACGTATGTAAAATTACTCGAAGAGAACCTTTAAGGAAAACTAAAAATTATTAACACTGATTTAATATTCAGTAAGTAGTAAATTAAGTATAGGACAAAATCGTTAAAAAAATGTGATTTAAAAAATAAATCTTTAATTTCAGAGTTTGGTGCCACAATTTCGAAGGAAATAGTATATAAATAAATAAAAAGTAATTAATAATAACACGTTTTTACAATTTAATATTATTACTAAAAAAGTAGGTAAAGGTGCGTTTAGTCAGCCTGATTTAGTTTTAAGCATTAACATAAAAGTTAATTTCAATACATTTCAGTGTATCTGTTTATACAGAATAACATAAGAATAAACATTAACATAAATTTAGTGAAGATAAATAAATCCAACTTAATACTTAAATTTATGTCGAAAATACAATTGCGCATGTGCGTTCAAAAAGTGAGGTTAAGCTATTTTTCTAACTTTTGAACTCTAAACTCTTTTCCTGCACTTTTATTAATAGTAATTGTGAGATAGTTAGCAGAGCAATTTCAGAATCAGCTCCCATACGCCTTTTTTCCATTTTGTATGATTTGTCAAATCTTATGTTAATGCTTAAATTTTCTGTATAAACGATTTTGTTTTAAAATCCTTAAATTAATGTTTATGTTAATGTCTATGTTAGTGCTTAAAACAAAATCAGGCTGATTAAATGCACCTTAAGTTAATAAAAAAAAAGGAAGAAAAAAAACATGAAAAAAACTTGGATTTTTTTTATTCGGAACTGGTTGATGGTAGAAAAACAATTTTTTTCCTCGAACTATTCTCTTCTGAATGATCGTTTCTGCGCCTTTTCTTAGGACTTTGCGTTATTTGTTCTAAAACGTTCGGATATTGGTTTGTCAAAGTCTGACAATCTTCTATTTTCATGAGAGTAATTACTGGATTTGTTGAATCTAATTTTCTTATACAATCACTGTTCATATGTTCCTAAAAACAAACAACATAACAAAGTTGAGCAACAATAATTTGCAATATTATTCCTATTTTTCTACAACTATTACCAAAGTTTAAAGTACAACTGAGGTCAAACACTGCACACTGTGTGGCATTCGCTTTTTAATTATTAGCTTTGTTCGAGGAACCTGTCGCCGACAAGTACACGACTTGTCACTGATAACGTTTGTGCGCAACTGCGATTTGTTACGAATCCTTGACAAGAGATCACCGCGAACGACTTGTGTACCAAAATAACTATCATACACTTTAACTGGAAAAAACCTATTATAGGATTTACTTCTTAATAATGTATTTAGAGAAATTTGTATTTTTCAAATAAAATGTGAACTGTGAAATATTGTAAGGATAGAACTTAAAATTGAATTGACACAAAATAAACTTTATTAAAATTAATTAAAGATTGACTGGCCAGTTGGTTTTGAAACCAGTGCCAAACAGAAATACATACACACACACTTTAACTGGAAATGAAAAGTGAGATAGAAGACTTTAGATTGTGAAGATAGTTCTTAGAATAGATATCAGAAACATTGCATTGTAAAAATTGTAGTTTTTTATTTTTATTAGTGCGAACACTCAATTTTAATAATTTATTGGAATATTTGGCATAATTAAAAACTCAATCAACCATTTCTCTTTGTTCCCTTCCTTTTTACTTTCCTATCTGTATACAGATATAAGGAAAGTATAGGAATCATGATTTTTTTCGACCTCGAGTTTTCGACGGATTTTTACGTTTTGAGGTCCCCTGAATCCGTTTTGACTATTTTCGCGATGATGTCTGTGTGTGTCTGTGTGTGTGTGTGTGTGTGTGTCTGTGTGTGTGTGTCTGTATAACGCATAACTCATGAACCGATACACAGAAAAACACCAAATTTTAAACTTAAGCTTTGTTTCAGCGTCCAATGAGCTGATTAGATTTTGGGCAGAGTCGGAACATCTGGGGGGGTACTTTATAGGTGGTCATTTTTATATTTTATGGAATATATCTGTTATTTACGTTTGGAGAAGAAAATTCTTCAAATAAAAGTTACTTCTTATATAATTATCTATAATTTTTGTTTTATGCAAAATTTTCCTAAAATGGTCCGTATTCGAGAAATTTGACAAAATGTAAAAAAAAATAATTTTTTATAAAAATTGTTCAAATAAAAGTTGTTTGTAATATAATTTTCTATAATTTTTGTCCTATACATAATTTCTCTAAAATAGACCGTATTCGAGATATTTGAGAAAATGTGTAAATTTCGAAATTTGAAGAAAACTCAAAAACGGATAAAGGAAAAAACATTAAATTTTAAACTTAAGGTTTATTTCGGCCTGACGTGAAATGATTAGATTTTGGACAAAGTCGGAACATCTGGGGGGGTACTTTATGGGAGGCCGTTTTTATATTTTATGGAATATATCTGTTATTTATGTTTGGAGAAGAAAATTGTTCAAATAAAAGTTACTTCTAATATTATTATCTATAATTTTTGCTCTATGTCAAAATTTCCTGAAATGGTCCGTATTCGAGAAATTTGACAAAATGTGCAAAATTCTGATTTTTTATGAAAATTGTTGAACTAAAAGTTGTTTGTGATATCGATTTCTATAATTTTTGTTTATACATGATTTTTCTAAAATGGACCGTAATGGAAAAGTGCTAAATTTAAATTTTTCTGTATTTTCGTTTTCAATGAATATCTATAGAAAAATGTTTCGAGGTAGATGTATGTGGAAAATGTATATATTTAGTTTATCCTCTAAACATTTATAGAGATGCTGCAATAGGTTGTACAAAATAACCGGAAAATGCCTATAATAACTAGATAGGAAAGTCATGTGTTGGACACATCAGATTTTTTTATTTACTAAGCATTTCCAGACAAATTGTCCACGCTGTTTGCTGATCGTTTTCACTTCTCGTGTACGTACTACCGACAAGTTCACCACGAACGCTGGACATTTCGTCAAAATCTTCGATTTTCGGCTCCGCGAACGCCTGAAATCAAAATACCCATGCTCATCTGTCGTGGACTTATCGGCGACAGGCTCCGCGGACAAAGCTATTAAGTACTTAAAACTGTTAAATACCTAATTAATTGAATTGTTATTAATCACTCAATAAATCATTTTCAAATTATTACCCACAATCTTTTTTATACTAGGTGAGTGGGCTACGCATTCAGGGCCCCGCAAGGGTTATCGTCGCTCATGTACCGGAAATATATTTGCGCCCTTTGAAAATAATATGTAGTAGGTACTTAAATAAATAATATTTTGAAGCATAAGAAGTTTAAGCTGTTACATGTTTTTTAAATTTTTTGGTTTGCTGTAATATTCCTGTAGTTGTTTAAACATTTGAGCGAAATGGTAGCACATTATTTAAAGTGCGTAATAAAACAACAGATTTTAAATTTTATTCTTTTTTAAATTTGTTACAAAAAAACAAACAAACCAAACAATAAACAAAACACTCAATCATCCAAAAATGTAATATTTTTTCTGGATTTGGGTGCTGCAAATTCTTGTATATTGTCAAAATCAATTGTATCGAGGATATCTTGCTTCATAGCTAAGATTGCCAAATCAGATAATTTTTCTTGTAACATGGTAGACCTTAAATAATTTTTAAATAGTTGGAAATTGTACACAAACCTCCCGTGCGGTGCAGTGCAGGCTCGGTTGCTGGGGCGCTTTGCGCACTCCAGAGTGAAATGACGTAGAAGTTTCTTCCATATTAATTAGTACTCACGGGAAGCAAAATAAAGCTTTTCATCTAAGCATCAGTCACAGATATCTTATTATCGATTTACATCACCTTGTGCGTATGTCAGATTCACACTCCACAATCTATGTTCTAATAGCCTTCTTAATCTCCTTGCGACAGTTATGAACGACTCAATGCAAAAACAGGAACTGTCAATGGACTGGAAATAAGCTATAGTCACTCATGTATATAAGAAAGGTGACAAAAAGAATCCCCTAAACTACCGACCAGTTAGTATTACAAGCCGTATCGGTAAAGCAATGGAAAAGATTATTACAAAATAAATAACAGAGTTTATGAAGGGACACAGAGTTTTAGCAAGCAATCGGCATGGATTTATGCCCAAAAAATCTGTTGTTACAAATATTCTAAATGCAGTTAACCAGTGGACAGTTTGGAATGACAACAACCAGCCAATTGATATGATATATCTTGATTATAAGAAAGCTTTTGATAAAGTTCCACATAGAAGGCTGCTTAGCAAACTGGAACACTTTGGAATTATTGTCGATTAAGAGTTTCTTATTCAACCGGCAGTTCTGCGTAAGACAGCTGTCAAAAAAACCATCCAGTGCAAAGTGGAGTACCAAAAGGTTCGGTCTTGGGTCCCCTATTATTTATTTTATACACCAGCGATTTATGCAAAATCATCGAGTCCGAAGCCACATTTTATGCAAACGACGGAAAGATCTACTGCACGCCACTGGAAAGCTCTCACAAAATGAAACAAGACTTGAATAAAATCGGAATCTGGTCCCAGAAATGGCTACTGCCCTTCAACATAAATAAGTGTCCAGTATTGCACATTGGCCCAAATAATCCCCACACAGTACACCATATATACAAACGCAATAACTCCAGTCAAAACACAAAAGGATCTTAAAATGGGAAACACATATTGCTAATATAGTGAAGGAAGTCAACAATCTAATTTACCTTCAAAAGAGTTTTTAAAGACCATTCCGAAGATGATAATCAAACTGTATAGTAAAACCAGAGATCTAGTGACTCTCATAAATCATATCACATTAGCTGAGAGCTGGGACATACGGTGCTCAGATTTCCTCCTTACCACTGGGCAGATCCATTAATTCTCGACGAAAGTGTGCGCACTTGGGTCAGCGATTTTGATGCTGATTTTTTTGTCGAAAGTACACCTAAAACGAAGACGATCCTGAAAATTTGAGTCCGATCTGACCAATTCCAGCCGCTGGAGAATTTTTTGAATTTTGGAAAAAGTCGGTTTTTCACTCATTTTAAATAATTTGTATCTCAGCTTCTATCCAACTTAGATACTTCTACTCAGCGGCATTCTTCTCAGTAGACCCTCTACTTTCAAGAAAAAATTAGATGCTTGGTCTAAACTTATATCGGGCTTAGCTGACAGCTTCCAACTAAACAACTGTTGTGGTGAAATTTTACCCATTTAGAAAACGCTATTATATGTACAGTTTTCAAAGTTGAGGGTCGACCAGCAGATAATGTCTTTCATTGGGGTATACTTTAATGGAATCTACCCAACTTTTGCTTGATTGCTCCTATTTCGTAAAGTTAAAGCCATCTGAAACCGACCGAATTTCAAAAAATCGCTGTTTTCCGTTAGCTAGAACTTTTTTCTTTGAACTTCGATTTGCTTCAAATTTTTAGAAAAGTTGCTTTATTATGTCCCCAAAATAGCCTAAAAATTTTAGTCATGGTTTTGAGCTAGTATTTGAGTTAGAAATTTTTTAATATTGTCGAAATTGCATTGTTGAAAATAATTTTTGCCGATAATTTTTACATGTCTATCGAATTATTTACTTGTTAACAAGTAAGATATTTATACTTTTTGTTTATAAATATATCTGTTGTTAGTTCTCATTTAAATAACGTGTCAAACAGATATTTCTCACCCAAAAGTGCTGTGTTCATGCTTATATTGTTTGAATTTGTATTGATGATGGCGCTTGAGCGGTTATGTTACTTAAGTTATCCGCTTCGTGGCGTGACTGAAGTACTTACATTGACATATGATCAATGTAAACAACTTAATAGTTCTCTACACTATTTAGAAGACTTTATTTGATTGATTTGGAGTGTTTATAATATCAAAAGTTCAAACAATGGAGAAGTGTTATATTGGTTTATCAACTGATTCAGAATGTCATTTAGAGACATACTCTGGAAATAAAATTCTTCATAATTTAAGTGAGTTGAGTGACGAAGATATTTTTCTTTTAAATTTGAGAGTACAAGACGAACAATTTTATGAACAAATCTCAGATGGGAAAATTTGTCATTACCACAAGCTTCGATTATTAGATTACTTTTCTTCGCTTAAATATAAGTGTTGTGATCCTCTAAAAAAACATTAAAAAAACGTATCCACTGATCTCAGAATAATAAGTTTAGAGATATGTGAAAATTTAAAAAAAATTCCATCAGAAGTGCATTCAATAAACCTAATTCCTGGAGAAAAATTGTGCCGAAACTGTGAAACATCAATAAAGGAAATAATTAAACATAATTTGGATAATTCGGAGCCTATGGAAATTGAAGATGTTATTCATGAAGATCAAAATATCGCTTCAAATTTTCAGGAAAGTTGCTTTATTATGTCCCCAAAATAGCCTGAAAATTTTAGTCATGGTTTTGAGCTAGTATTCGAGTTAGAAATTTTTTAATATTGTCGAAATTGCATTGAACCTGACAAGGAATTTATTAATAGTCATAGTTTAAGCGTATAGAATAATAATTATCTAATGAAATAAAAGAAATTTTATGAACATAATCTATATTTATTTGTATTTTGTGTTCAAAAATTCCACAAAAGTACAAAAAGCAATATAAATCTAGTGATTATTTTAGAAAATTCGAAAAATTCTTATTTATAAATTTAGTTTAATTATTTTACAATCTTTTTCAAAAGAAGTCACTCTTACTTCTAAGGAATCATCGTTAATAGGTGTAAAAGAATGGTTAATTCGAGTGTTTTTGATGGTTTTTACAGTTTCAAATCGTTTTTTTCAATTTTTTTTTATTTTTCTGAACTTCAGCATCAGATACCCATATTGCTCTGAAAAAATTTAGTATTATTTACATTATGTATTACTATGAGTTATGATTTTATTTATGTACCTTGTGCTTTTTATTTCGGCTCCGAATTATCCAAATTATGTTCAATTATTTCCTTTATTGATGTTTCACAGTTTCGGCACAATTTTTCTCCAGGAATTAGGTTTATTGAATGCACTTCTGATGGATTTTTTTTTTAAATTTTCACATATCTCTAAACTTATTATTCTGAGATTAGTGGATAAGTTTTTTTTATGTTTTTTTAGAGGATCACAACACTTATATTTAAGCGAAGAAAAGTAATCTAATAATCGAAGCTTGTGGTAATGACAAATTTTCCCATCTGAGATTTGTTCATAAAATTGTTCGTCTTGTACTCTCAAATTTAAAAGAAAAATATCTTCGTCACTCAACTCACTTAAATTATGAAGAATTTTATTTCCAGAGTATGTCTCTAAATGACATTCTGAATCAGTTGATAAACCAATATAACACTTCTCCATTGTTTGAACTTTTGATATTATAAACACTCCAAATCAATCAAATAAAGTCTTCTAAATAGTGTAGAGAACTATTAAGTTGTTTACATTGATCATATGTCAATGTAAGTACTTCAGTCACGCCACGAAGCGGATAACTTAAGTAACATAACCGCTCAAGCGCCATCATCAATACAAATTCAAACAATATAAGCATGAACACAGCACTCTTGGGTGAGAAATATCTGTTTGACACGTTATTTAAATGAGAACTAACAACAGATATATTTATAAACAAAAAGTATAAATATCTTACTTGTTAACAAGTAAATAATTCGATAGACATGTAAAAATTATCGGCAAAAATTATTTTCAACAATGCAATTTCGACAATATTAAAAAATTTCTAACTCAAATACTAGCTCAAAACCATGACTAAAATTTTTAGGCTATTTTGGGGACATAATAAAGCAACTTTTCTAAAAATTTGAAGCAAATCGAAGTTCAGAGAAAAAAGTTCTAGCTAACGGAAAACAGCGATTTTTTGAAATTCGGTCGGTTTCAGATGGCTTTAACTTTACGAAATAGGAGCAATCAAGCAAAAGTTGGGTAGATTCCATTAAAGTATACCCCAATGAAAGACATTATCTGCTGGTCGACCCTCAACTTCGAAAACTGTACATATAATAGTGTTTTCTAAATGGGTAAAATTTCACCACAACAGTTGTTTAGTTGGAAGCTGTCAGCTAAACCCGATATAAGTTTAGACCAAGCATCTAATTTTTTCATGAAAGTAGAGGGTCTACTGAGAAGAATGCCGCTGAGTAAAAGTATCTAAGTTGGATAGAAGCTGAGATACAAATTATTTAAAATGAGTGAAAAATCGACTTTTTCCAAAATTCAAAAAATTCTCCAGCGGCTGGAATTGGTCAGATCGGACTCAAATTTTCAGGATCGTCTTCGTTTTAGGTGTACTTTCGACAAAAAAATCAGCATCAAAATCGCTGACCCAAGTGCGCACACTTTCGTCGAGAATTAATGGATCTGTCCCACTGTATGTGTAACCCAATTGAGCATATATGGCGTCAGCTTAAGTCAGCAGTTCGAAGAAATAATACTTCTACAACCTTAAGTTCAACTGTTCAGCTGGACCAAGTGTGTTTCCCAAATAAAAAAGGTGGAAAAGACATATATTGATATAGAAGATACCAAGAGAAAGGTTCATTATTAATTTGGATGACGATAGTGAAAGTGAAACTGAACTTCGTGAGTAATTTTGTTTAAATAAATAAAATATTAGAAAATGAGATGTAAAAATTCCACTATATTAATAAAAATACTTATCTGAGTAATTCAAAATCGACAATTGTTTCAGAAGCATAAACTTCTATCGCCAGGATTGACAATAGTGGAATTTTTACATTTCATTTTTTAATATTTTATTTATTATGAATAGGATTCTACAATGCAAGGGTAGAAACAATCACTATGACCTAGCTACTTGTTCGTACATTGTCACACCGATTTTATTTTTACCAAGTTACCACTTTATGTTTTTTAATAATTATATTTTATATGTTCAACCTACATTCTGTACTTTTAAATACTTTATTTTCTACTTTTTAGTACTTCTATTACCTACCTACTTTTTCATACCGATTTTTACTTTTACCATTTTATCACGTTATACTTTTTAATAATTACATTTTATATATTTAACCTACATTTTGTACCTTTAAATACTTTATTTTTTACTTTTTAGTCCTTTTATTACCTACCTACTTTTTCGTACTTTGTCATACTGATTTTTTGCTTTTACCAAGTTACCATGTTACTTTTTGTACACACTGTATAATTAAATAAACAATTCTGAATTATAGCGATTTTTCTTAATATTTATTTTACCCCAATTATTGACCTATAGAACAAAACTTAATGGCTAGAGTAGGTACTTCTCTGCGTAGAGACGGCCGCCTGCTGATAAGTAAATTACCTGCTGTTTTATGGTAGTCACTAGATCTCTAGTTTAACTATACACAACTTACATAAGACCGTTTGGGATCCATACTTTGTTAAAGACATGAACTGCTGGAAAAAGTACACTCACCAAAATACCACCAACCCTACAAAACAATGAGTATTGTGATTGGTTAGCCAAACTACAACTTTCAAAGATAGAAGAACTAGAGGAGACTTGATAGAAACTTACAAGTGGACCAGCAGATATTACACCTGTAATAGCATCTTCCAGGCCAGCACATCAAGAACCTTGAGAGATCACTCGCCCAGTTCAAGACGAGAGTGGATAAGAATTCGAAGAAGGAAGAAATAATTTTATTAATTATAGATTATAGTATATTAAGTTTTAACTGTCATGTTAGAACAACAACAACAACAAGACCAACACCAATAATAAAAATAATAATAACAATATTATTTTTTTTTTCACCAATAAAAAAAAAATAATATTAATTCTGATGCCTTAGTAGGATTCCCCACTTGACCATTCACTGTTGGGTTCTAATTAACAGTGCTGTTCCTAAAGTGGCGCTGAAAAACAGTAACAAAGCCTACACAGAACACGAGGCGAAATAACCACAGTAGTTGAAGCCGATGACACACAAAAATAAAAATAATAATAATCCCAAAGAATAAAAACAAAATCTGTACCACATATAAATTTAATAGTTAAGTTGTGAAGCGACTAGTTTCGGCCATCAGACCATCATCAGGCCTACAATACAAAGGAAATTTATGAATAAGGAGAAAACATGATATACTTACATATATATCTATGTTTGAATTATTACAACCAAAATTCTATGACAGAATGTTAACATTGGAATTTTGGTTGTAATAATTTTAACAAGATATATGTAAATAAGTAATTAAGTAAGTAAGTAAGTAAGTAAGTAAGTAAGTAAGTAATAATAATCTCCGAACGTTCAAAACGGAACTTTTATTTTACCTCCTTCCGTTCCCGAAATGCTCGTTGATATTTTGAAAGGGAATAGTGCTAGCCCGAACTCACCTAGTGTACTATCGCCACAAAATGGAGGGACCTGGCTTTTTTTTAGAAATATGTTTAGGGTTCCGTCAAATATTTCGCTTTTCAAAAAGGTTCCGTCGCCAAAAAAAGTTTGAGGAACTGTCCTAGACACTGGAAGCGCATACATAATAGATGACTAAAATACAAAAACAAAAAAGTGGAATAGAAATAATACAAACCTTTGTTTTCTTGATACTCTTAAACCTCTTCTTGCACAAGTAACATTTCATATGGCTTTTTCGATGCTCGACCAATTCATTCTTCGTATGAATGATCCTCCCACATTCCGGACAAGTCCTCAAATACTCCACCTTGCCGGTCGTCTGCAACAATCCCGAAGAGTTAGGCGAATCGTCATTCAGTGACGGTTCGTTATTCGGTGACGGTTCGTTATCATAAGACACTGGCGATGATTTTAACACTATACTCGTGTCCAAATTGATCAAATTCGGAGAATCCTGTTCTACTTTGACTTCCAGTAAGTCCGATTTTTGACAGTCCACATTTAATAGTTTGTAAACACTAGAGTCTGGAAAGGGTAAATTTTTATTCGACTGGAAAGAGATTTCAATGGGACTGTTTGTTTCTTTTACGTTTGGTGAAGTGACTGGTTCTGTAACTTTCAAAAGTCTGCTTGTTGCCTTTTCATTGGATTGACTGAGTTCTAATTTGTTTGATAGCCTTTCAAATTTTTCACTATCTAAAGGTGATTTTGTGATATTAGGTAAAGCTTCTTTGATTTGTGAACGATTAATGTTTGGAGGAGTTTCTGGTTTCAAACACGATTTTCTCTTAGGACGAAGGTATTCAGTTTCAATTTTCCTATACTCTGAACGATTTTTATTTGGTTGGGAAGAGGTTTCACTAGGAATGTTGGTTTCTTTTACTTTTGGTGAAGTAACTGGTTCTGCAACTTTTAGAAGACCGCTTGTTGCCCTTTCATTGGATTGGCCGAGTTGTAACCTTTCACATTTTTGACTATCTGTGTTACAAGGTGATTTTGTGATGATAGGTAAAGTTTCTTTGATTTGTAAACGATTAATGTTTGGAGGTGTTTCTGGTTTTAAACACTGTTTTCTCTTAGGACGAAGGTATTCACTATCAACTTTCCTATCTTCTGATCGACGATTTTTATTTGATTGGCAAGGGGTTTCAGTATGAACATTGGTTTCTTTTACTTTTGGTGAAGTAACTGGTTCTGTAACTTTTAGAAGTCCACTTGTTGCCCTTTCATCAGATTGACTGAGATGCGATTTGTTTGCTATCCTTCCAGATTTTTTAGTATCTGTAGTATTTAAAGGAGATTTTATGATAGGTAAAGTTTCTGTGACTTTTAAAGGAGACGGTGTTTTCAATTTTGATTTCGAACTCAGGTTTCTCCTAGGTCGAACGTTTTTATTTTCATCTTGTTTAGAATCTTTTATTAACATTTCTGTTACTAATTTATCACCACTATCATTAACCTGTTCTGCTTGTAAATTATCTGTAATGTTTTCATTCAAATGAGCTTTATCTGATGCTTCAGTCGAATTAGTATCTGTAGTATTTAAAGGAGCTGTTATGATCTTGGGTAAAGTTTCTTTGACTTGTAAAGGAGAAGGTGTTTTCAATTCTGATTTCAAACTCAGATTTCTCCTAGGTCGAACGTTTTTACTTTCATCTTGTTTAGAACTTTTTATTAACGTTTCTGTTACTAATTTATCACCACTATCATTAACCTGTTCTACTTGTAAATTATCTGTAACTTTTTCATGCGATTGAGCTTTATTTGATGCTTCAGTCGAATTAGTATCTGTAGTATTTAAAGGAGATGTTATGATCTTGGGTAAAGTTTCTTTGACTTGTAAAGGAGAAGGTGTTTTCAATTCTGATTTGAAACTCAGATTTCTCCTAGGTCGAACGTTTTTACTTTCATCTTGTTTAGAACTTTTTATTAACGTTTCTGTTACTAATTTATCACCACTATCATTAACCTTTTCTACTTGTAAATTATCTGTAAATTTCTCATGCGATTGAGCTTTATTTGATGCTTGAGTCAAATTACAAGAATTATCAACCATCTTCAATTCCGTTGAATCATTCGAGGAGTCTGATGAATTTTTTTTAATAGTAAATTCCAATCCTACAGCTGCCTTGTCGGTTTTAAGGGGCTCAAATAATTCGTCAATATTTTTGGACGATTTATGTTGTTTCAACTTATCTTTTAACTTTTTAGTTTTATTCTTATCACTATTAATATTCTTAATTCTATTGTTTAGCGTTTTATGTACACAACTATATTTATCGCTATCATATTTTCCGGTAATAATGGCTTCATTGTTGTTTTCAGTTTTCAAATCTATCGTTTGGGTGTAAACGTCGAAAAAACCCTTAGGCTTTTTCGTTTGTATTTTTAATAAATCGCATTGAGTATACTTATCTTTGATTCTGGGTCTTTTGGAAGATTCTTTTTTTCCTAAATTACACTGAATATCGGCATTGATGGTTTTGATAAGATTCGTTTGGGTTTCGATAGTAACTTTAGGAATGATTGGCATGAATGCGTTCTGGATTGAAACATTAAAACATTTTGGAGAATGCGTCTGAGTACTTTTATCGATTTTGGTCTTTGCACAAGCTGGTGATGATGATGATTCTCCAGAAGACCCGCTGCTCTCAGTTGATATAAAGGATTTGGTACGGAGCCAATTGGTTAAAATATGTTTGAGTTCAGTGTAATTAGGTAACTCAATATCCGATAATTTTGTCCCAGAGTCAGATTTTTTTGGTATATTTGGAATTAAAGCCTGCGGAAAAATAAACACTAAATTATCTAAATACTAAAATAAAAAAAAACGTATTTCAAGACGACCTACGTATTAAATGAAACGAATGTTTTAAAAATCAAAGAAAACACTATCAATTGGTTTAATTTATAAAAATTAGTAAGAATTTTGGGCTTTATACTGGCATGCAATTTATTTTAATGTCTTCAAGAATTGAATGTTAAGTACTGGTAGAACGATGACTATTGAAAAAAATTATAAGGATCTTCTGTTATAAATAATATCAACACCATTTTATTTGACATTACATTATATAATTAAGTGCGTGGTAAGTTAAAATGATAATTGTTACCCACCTGCAATTTTTCTTCATTTTTCAGACATTTAGTTTTAAATACAAGAAGATTGTATGTTTCTATTATGCATGAAGAACATATACAGTCAAAATAGTTGTCTTCTTCATACTAAAATATAAAAATGGAGTATTTAATAACTCGAAACTAACTTCTATATAAATTTCAAACACATCATGCATTGCTTTTCTTAACGTCAAAGATTTAATGTAATAAAGAATGCATGTGTCATTGCTTCAGTAATTAAACACAGTTACAAATTAAAATACTTTGTTAGCTTCTTATTTCTGACATTTTTATTCCATTATGTGTTACGAAATTATCTTCTGAAGTGGTTCTTACAATTATTATGAAGTATTTGTGATACGGAAAAAAAAAAAAAAAAAACACACTGAGAAAAAATAGGTCAAACTTAAGAGACTGGAGCTGAGGTATTTACGAAAATTAAATCTTGGGTGGAGGGTGTATATATTCGTGTATAAGTTTTTTATTTGAAAATCAGGTTTACTTCAGATAACATATGACTTAATACACTCGCAGTACATAGTTTTGTTGTAAAGCATTAAAATCACCTTGTTTGAAGAACTACGATATTTTAAATTCATATAACTATATATGTTTCCAAGCCATATAAAACATTTAAACATATTGGTATTTTAATTTTACAACACAAGATTCCATGTATGTCTCTAGTTCAAATAAAGAATTTGATTTTGAATCTAAAACCATGCCTCCAAAGACTTTTGGCAATGTAGGCAGCAATAATTATACAGGGTCCGGGAAAATGTGGGAGGTCTCTCGGATTCAGAATATTAAAAAAAAAAATACTTGTGGCACTCGGGGACTACCACGGTAAAGCTATCGCATAGCATTTTTTTATCAACTTATGCAATAATTATATATTTATTTTATTTATGCAGTATTTTTTTTCTTTGATATTAATTCAAGTTTTTTCTTTGATATTAATTCAAGTTACACTTTTTGAGCGTGGTGACCGATAAGAAAACAATTTTTTTTCTTTTATTGAATAAATAAGAAGTTAATATTGTTTAAAATATTTTTATTATCTTACAATACATGTAGGTTATTTAGGAATTTTTATCATTGAAACTATATGTTTATGGTAACTGAAATAAGAAACATAAGTTTGAGACTTGATATCCTCTAAATATCTGGAAAATACCGCGTCAATGGTGGTCCCATATTTTGTTGTGGTTTCTTGTGGATCATTATTCATTTTCAAATTCAATTTTTCCGAAATTGTGTCTAAAAGAGATAGAATCAGTTAGCAGCTAGTCTACACGCATACGTCTAGTCGCACGCACACAAACACTGTGCCGAAGTCTGCCGAACTGAAACGACGTTAGACGATGCACAGCTTGGAAACGACGTTAGACGATGCATGGCTTGCAACGCCGCACCGCTGTGCCGGTCGGAGTGGAGGGTGTTAGGTTTATTTTCGTTACGGAATTTCTGTTTCGATTTTTCTTTTTTTCGATGTGCCGGTCGGAGTGGGGGGTGTTAGGTTTTTTTTTTTCGTTACGGTCGTTACGAAATTTTTTGATTCGGTCGCCGCACTCATAGCTCGCACTAAAAGCTATGCAATAGCTTAAAAATAGGATGACAAGTTCCCATACATTTTTTTCCTAGCGGCCCTCCCTACGGAGATACGACCTCCAAAAGGACGCCACTGGAAATAAATTTTTCTTGAATAACTTTCAAACTACGTAATATAATTTAATAAAAATTTAATATGATAAACAGTAGTAAGAACCTCTTAAAATACTGGCCTTAAAACATAATTAGCTTGCTTAGTTTACCAGTGGCGGACTAGGTTGTACATTTTAATGCTTACATTTTTAACACCTTGTATGATGAGGTGTTAAAAAAAATAAATTTCGATACCTTGAACATTACGCTAAAGAAAAGGTACTCTTCTTCATTGTCGATAAAATGAACCGTTTTTGAGAAAAAAAAAAATAATAATAAAAGAATTAATGTTTTATTTTTATTAAAAAGAAACCATGTTTTCCAATTTTTTTGTCTGCAGCAAAATGTGATACGAACGTCATTGAAACTGTTATCAGTATTAAAAAACGCACTGTTTTTACAAACATTACTATGGTCTTACATTAAACATTAAACGAAGCAAAAATTCAGCAAATGTAATTTTCTATCATTGCTAAAAGTGAGGAGAACAGGTTAAACTTTCAGGAACATATTTAGACCCGAAGTCGTTTAGCAAAAGCTACTTATGCAATAATTAAAGTCTATTCAGATTTCATTTACGCCGCGTCAAAACAATTTCTCCCATCCAGCAACAGCTCACGTGACATTTTTTTGCGCTTCTATTGGTTAATCGGTCGTTAGTCATTTAGACGACGCGCAAATATTTTTTGTCAGAGTCGAATTCAGTTCAATTTGGATAATTATAAACGGCGTTTTGGTAGCATTCACCGTGTTGGTTAGTTTGGACATTTTGTACGTTTGATTGATTATAATTCATTATAATATTATAGTTTAGATATACATATATTGTGTTATTTATTTTTTTTTTGTTTTTGTGGTTGTTGTTAGTTTGAACATTTTTTACTCTATTTTATGGACATTTAATTGACTATATTTTGTAACTGCTGCGTGTCACTATGTCCTCCACAGATACAGCAGATGAAGTCCAGAAAAATGTTTTTACTCCTTCTAAAAAGCGACCGAAAAAGGGACATTTGGTCATCCGTACTAAAGAAATGGTTCTTAATATTTATAAGCATTAAATTTTATAGAACCCTGATATGTTGGTACATGATGTTGAAAGGAGAGTTGCTGATAAAACAGGGATGTGCGCTAAAACCGTTTTTAATGTTATGAAGAAGTATAGGCAGATTCATAAATTTTCTGAACCAAAAAGAAAGCTACGTTATAAACAAATTAGTGGCTCTGTGGATGATTTTGATAAAAATGCAATAAGGCGCAAAGTACATCAATTCTTCTTTAGAAATTAACTTCCAACAATCGATAAGGTTTTATAAGAAGTCAACGATAATCCATATTTGTCTACTTTTAAGCAAGCTACATTTTACAAGCTTTTGAAAACCCTCAATTTTAAATTTAAAACTCGAGGAAAAAATAGTTTGCTTTTAGACAAAATGAAATTGTTTCGTCCTACGCCACAAAAATAAAACGGTACAGAGAAGAAAAGCAAAAAATATATTATCTTGATGAGACTTGGATTAACGCAGGCGACACCAAATCAAAAGTATGTTTCGATATGTCGGTTTTATCATCCAGACAAGCCTTTTTGGATGCACTTTTAACTGGTTTTAAAAACCCATCAGGTATGTGCGTAAAAACAGCTCATTATATGCCATATTGGAAGTGAAGAAGGCTTTGTCTCTAATGCACTTTATGTATTTAAGTTGAAAAATCCGGTGACTACCATGAAGAAACGTGTGGAGAATCGTTCAAAGAGTGGTTTTCAAACACCCTACCAAAATTAGAAGATAACTGCATTATTATTCGAGAAAGCTTGGAAAAATACCTACAACGACGTCTAAAAAAGGTGATATTTAAAAATGGCTATAAGGGAAAAAAATTGAATTCGACTACCAAATGTTTAAGATCCAACTTCTAAAACTTGGTAAGCAACATAAACATTATGATAGGTATGTAATAGATGAAATGGCTAAGCAGCAAAACAACATAATACTTCACATGTCTCCGTATCATTGTGAACTTAACCCTATTGAATTAATCTAGGTTGACGTTAAACAATACGTAGCAGATAAAAACTCAACATTTAAATCTGGAGACATTAAAATTTTTTTTGAAGAAGTAATATTATTAATTTCTCCAGAAAAATGGAAAAAGTGTATCGACCATGTTCGCCAAAAAGTTGAAGTAAAAATGTGGGAGTTGGATAATATTATAGAGGTTCAGGTAGAACCACTTGTAATTTTGATTAATGAAGATAGCCTTTCAAGTCTAACTAATTTATCCGATTCAGAATAGTGCTAAGTCAAGTAAGGAAGATTGCTATAATACAGGGTACAAGTTGTCTAATCTAAATACTAGTAGAACAAGAACAATAAAGAACAAAAGTTATCAAAAATACAAAAGGTTTCTTTTTAAGATGCACAATTTTAAATCAAATACCAAATTCAAATACCTCTTATATTTAAAGTTTTTTTAATGCTTTTAGTAGATATATATTAGCTATTAAAGAATTTGCAATTATTTGGACACCCTGTACAATATAATTTTATAATATGATTGTTTTAATGCTCTGTATCACAGTAGACATATGTAATGAACTAAATATAATGCAACCATCTCTTTTAAAGTTAAATACATTTATTAATTTGTATTGCAGGTTAACGCAGTTTATGTCGCTCACCTATCTTCGTCCAGAAATGTCACTAAAGTCTGGGAGACCGTGTATGGCATTTATTTTATAGTTTTACTTTACAAAATATGTTTTTATCGTAATAAAAAAATAATTTCACAATTACACTCTTTTATTTTACATTTTTGCAAGACGGAAAAGTAAAATACGGCCCTGCTCAATTTTAGCGTCCACCTGCCTCTGTTTACATCAGGCGTAAATTAAATTTGAATAGACTTTAGACAGCTAAAATTTCAATTAGACATTGTACATTTAAAAATGGTCTACTTTTCATTATTTCTTAGCATTATGACGTATGGGGTTATACTTTGGGGAAATACAAGCAACCAACTTAGGGTATTTATTGCACAAAAAAAGTAGTACGTATCATGACATCTAGTAGCTACAATAGTCACTGCCAACCTATTTTTAAACAGTTGGGTATTTTACCCACTACCATGTTGTTTTATTTTAGAGTGACTTATATACATGAAAAAACAAATTGGTAATAATAATGTTATAAGATAGAGCTGTAAACATTCTTATTGCACCAGAGGAAATTATGATATACCTTTACCTAATTACAGATTAACCAAACTTCATGATTCTTATAGATATATCAGCATTAAAATGTACAATTTCCTACCTCAAGCTTATTATAAAAACGCATCTTTTAATTTATTTAAAATAAGAATTCGCAAATTTTTGTCGAGTCACTGCTTTTATTCCATTGTCGAATTCTTATCACATGTGTCCATCTGTGCATGTGAGTAATGTGTAAACCTTTTTGGTGAATATACCTTTTTAATTTTTATCTTTTAAGTATGTTTTAATATGTTATGTGTAAGTATATCTATATATTTTTTGTCTATATTTTTCTAAATTGTAACTATATTTTCTGTATCTATACCTATATATCTTTTTTTTATACTTTTAACATTGACACATGTAAAATATTTATTTTTATTTTACATCAATAAATATCTATCTATCATATGGTACCTACGAAATAAATAAATTAATAATTGCATTGATGTGTGCATTTTAAATCTTGTTGACACGTTGATCTTTTAGAACTCAGATATTAATTTATTGAATTTTAAATATCTTGGTAAATTTAATTCGATAATGGAATACACATTTAGTGAGTATGCAGATATGCATCTTATGTACGGCCTTGCATCTTGCAATGCTCATCAAGAAAGAAGGTTGTATGAAGAAAGATAACCTAATCGCAATATTACAAATGAGAAACCATTTCAGCGACTTGACCAACGTCTAAGAGAGACTGGTGGGCGATTCCCAGTTAATAAGGTAACATTATTGACTTTCTTTAATAATTTTTAGGAAGTTTTGGAAAAACAAGTACTGATGCTGGTGTGACAAGAACAGTACATACGGTGCAAATGGAGGAAAATATTTTGGATACTGTAGCTGATACTCCTTCAATAAGCACTCGAAGATTAGCCGCGCAGCTTCATGTGTCAAAAACGACAATTGCTGAAGTACTTAAAGAACAGTTGTTATACATCTCCAAAAAGTGCATCAACTACCGGAAGATTTTCCTCAAAGAATCAAATTTACAAACTGGCTGTTAGATCAGCAACGAACAAACGGAAACTTCATTAGCACTATTCTTTTTACCAATGAAGCAGGGTTTACCAAAAATGGTATTGTAAATTTAGATAACTCACATGTATAGGCTGATGAAAACCCTCATGCCAGTGTTGTTCATCATTATCAACATCAGTTCCAATCAATTATGTTTGGGCAGAAATAATCGACAATTTTTTGATTGAACCATGCGTATTGCCGCCACGATTGAATGATTAACTTTATTTACAGTTCCTTCAGAACGCTTTTCTGGATTCAATAGAGCATTTGTCACTTGAAACCCTCCGAAGCATGTATTTTATGCATGATGGAGCCCCCACCTCACTTTAGCGTTGCTGTAGGGGACCACCTGAATAATGTTTATCAAAACCATTGGATAGGCAGAGAAGGTATAATTGTCTGGCCTCCACGGTCTCCTGACCTAACTAACGCCAATCGATTTTTACCTGTGGGGTCATTTCAAAACCTTGGTGTATTCCTCTCTGGTTAATACTAGGGAGAAACAAGGCACAATGTTGGCTTGTTATGGCGATTACAGCAGTCAGTCCTCTATTTGTCGGGCCCGCGAGTGTATCAGAGTTCACGGAGCACATGTTGAACTTACTTGTAAAGTTTTTAATTGATTATTTTTAATTAGCATATTTAGGTTCAATCCTTACAAGCTTTAGTGAGTTCAGGATGAAAACATAATACTCCAAGTTGTATTTTAGAATTTACCAATTTAAAATTAGCTAATTCAGAGAGTTTAATTTTTTAATAAAAATAAAACATTAATTCTTTTATTTTTTTTTTCTCGAAAACGATTTATTTTATCGACAATGAAGAATAGTATCGAAATTTATTTTTTTAAACTCCTTAACATGCAGGGTGTTAAAAATGTAAGCATTAAAAAGTACAATCTAGTCCGCCCCTGGTAAACTAAACAAGCTAATTATGTTTTAAGGGCAGTATTTTAAGAGGTTCTTACTACTGTTTATCATAATAAATTTTTATTAAATTATATTACTTAGTTTGAAAGTTATTCAAGAAAAATTGATTTCCAGTGGCGTTCTTTTGGAGGCCGTTACTCCGTAGGGAGGGCCGCTAGGAAAAAAATTATGGGAACTTGTCATCTTATTTTTTAATGTTCTATCTGAATCCGAGAGACCTACCACATTTTCCCGGACACCCTGTGTATGCCAGTTATTTAAATAAACCATTTAACAAAGATGTTATGCATTCCTAAATTGAAATAAACAATTTTTATAATAAAGTATTATATATTTTATTAATCTCTTATAATACCTAAATGATACAACACTAAAGGCCACAACACTTTAGGGCTTGAAGTAAGCGATTTGTAAATTTACAAATCACAATTTTTTAAATTTGAACATTTTTGGCATCAAACCAGTTGAAGGTTGAAGATTTAGCAAATTCCATGTTTATTAAGCATTTGAACATTAAAAATAAAAAAATGCTACATGATAATCCAATAATTGTTTTTTTTTTTGAAAACCTTGTCAACATTAAATATAAATAAATTTAAATGGTATTTAAAAAGACGAGTCATGCTCAATTTTTAACAGTTTTGATGCAAGGGATGTTCAAATTTCAAATAGTTATGCAAGTGGTCCAAAATCACATCATTGAATTTACAATATGGTGATGACTATGAAGTCACTTTCTTGCACATTGCTGTGACTCAACTGCACTCTTTACTATTGAAACCATTAGTCTACAGTACATCAAATAAATTAATCGAAATAAGTCACATGCTCAACCTTGAGGAACCTCAGATATAAACAAATTCGCTCTCGTGTGTATTTACTGGAGAAACTTTCAAGTAGAAAGCAAAATTTACTCAATTTATACACTTACGATTCAAAATGTCAAAAATCAGTATATAGCTGAGTTCAGAAGGTGGACTCCTTTGACTATTTTCTCTGTAAATCAAACTTCACATCAGAGTTATAATGATTTAGCATGGGCTGAAGTTTTATTTGGAGTGAAAAGAGCAGGGTAGGAAAAACCTAAGAATTAAAAAATATAAGTACCTAGGTTTAAGTTTTTTTAAGGTTTTTAGTTCATATATGTCAAAGTTATTAATAAAACAAAAAATACAAGCAAAACTTGAAAAAGTGGTTACTATTAAAAAACACATTCTGCAAACAAAAAAATAAAAAATTAATATTTTTTTATTGTTGTTATCCTTAATATCAATATCAAGAAGTTACATTGGCACAACGTTTGATAAAATATTTGCATTTGTTTTCATATATACTAATTTGTACACCCTTTCTCCTGAGAGTTGATTAATAAAATTAAAAATTCTTGATATTTATCTTAAAAAAACCTAAAATTGCACAATTTTCACTTTTAGGTTTTTAAAAAACCTATATGCAAAAAACCTGTACCTGTCAACCCTGGAAAAGAGTAAAAGAAGTCCACCCCTGAACTCAAAGTATAAATAATAATTAGATCTTTTCCTTTGCATAAAAAGTGTAGTACTGAGCTACACCACTTCTGAAAATATTGTTCCATTTATACAAATTGTATGCCTTTGACTACAATGCCGCAGGATGCGATAATCCAGTCTGTCCTACACAGGTTATCGGTTCATTTCAGGGACATAGAAAGGAATTATAAACTGGACTACTATATTCCCAGGGACATAATAATGACATACTCCTGGTAAAAACTACTTTTTAGATGTATTCATACATAATATTTAGTGAATTTTTTTTGAAGCATCTTCAAACAGAAGCCGAACTTTTTTTCCATTATCAGTATTACTTTGTAGTTGACTTATTGTTTGTATGGACTATACCTATAAGTATTTCAATACCACTTTAATATCATTGACTCACTGCAGTAAAGAAGGGGGATGTTATGTGAGAATGATAAGATACAATTACATACAATTATTTATTATTAGAATATGTGGTAGTCTGGTTGTTCCAATGAAATAATCAAAATTGCAAGGTTTATACAGTGCTATAAAAATGGCCATGTATTGGTTCAATGAAATTTCATATACATATTAATCGTATTTATATAGATAAAAATTTCAGCTGGCCATAGTAAAAGAAAAATATCAACTTATTCTACAAGGGCTTCATATAAATATGCAGGATGAACATTCGAGAAAAGTCTAAAAAACCTAGATAGTGAATTATTTTTACCTTTATTCCAATAGTAACTGCGACCATTTTCCTGATTAAATCCCTGATACTTCGACTTTTTCCTTTGAATAATGAAATCAATCTCGCTTTGTGGGAACATAACCTACAGATCAAGTGGTTAACGGCGTCTGTGCTAGATTCATTCATTATAATTTTGTTTATTTATATAATTAAGTTAATAAGCGTTGCCGGCGTAAAATAATTGAAAATAAAAAGTATTAACAAATTTAAAATGGCTGTATTTATAATTTATATTTATAAACACACTTTGCTTGTAAATATACTTTTAATTGCTTAATTTAAAAATTATTAAAATGTTGGTAATAATCCGACTGTCACTAGTCACTTCGTTCTTGACGTTGATCCTTGGAAAGAGCCATTTGTTTTATGTTCCGTGCTCTGTTGATAGGCGTTTTTCATGTGCGTTTTTCTAACTACAAGTCATGGAGGAAGGATCACATACTTTGATTTTCTCTTACTATACGGAGAATGGTCGCACTGCGCAGCTTTCTGAGTCCCTTTTAAAAAGAGATAAAAAAACTCCGCCATTTTGATCCCTTATTACGTGTTGCCTACATCTTGGCGACATTTTTTTAATAGGTGCGTTTTACTCATCCGCTTCTGCTTCGGAATTGTCGGTTTTCTTGTTTTAATCTGACAGGTTAAAACGACTAAACCGACAATTCCGGAAGCAGAAGCGGATGATTAAAACGCACCTGGATATTTTGCTTGCTGCTGTCAGTGTCAGTGAATATTTTTTGGAGTCCCAGTTTATTGCTAAAGAATCAGTTAGCTCACTCGGACCAGTTGAAAGTTCCAAAATAACATCCACTCCAGGGATACAAATTCAGGATACGCAGCAGACTGCTGTTTTATTATAGGCGGTTATCATATATTGTATTATCCGAGTTGCGCAGTGTATAAACTGGAACATTGAGATCAAAAGTGCCGACGCAGAGTGAGCGATCTGATTCTTTAGCTATATACTGTGGCATAGGAATCAAAATGGCCGCGCCCTATGTTGGGTGTGTCGGACCTCTCTCTTGCACCGTATAGTAATCAAAGTATAGGTTCTTTCGTTCGTCCAATAGGTGTAGGAATGAACTACACCAACGTACACTAAACCTTTCGTTTGGCCCGGTGTAAAACCCACTATACCTTCCTGTCGGCGATGTGGTGTACACTGGTGGGAATTTTCTCCACCAGCTATTTAGCAGGAGTGATTTACACTCGACATGTGTATAAGGAATAAGGAGGAAGTAAATTAAGGAAAATAAGGTGGTGTAACTGGTGTAATTTACACTGGTGGACACTGCACCAACAGCGAACGAAAGAACCTTATGTGTCTGTAGTAGTCACATACTTTGATTTTCTATACGGAGAATGGTCGCACTGCGCAGCTTTCTGAGTGCCTTTTAAAAGGAGATAGAAAACTCCGCCATTTTGAACCCTTATTACGTGTTGCCTACATCTTGGCGCAATATTTTTAATAGGTGCGTTTAATGGCGTATTCGACTACCCTGCGCTGGCTCCGATCAAGTTCGAAACATGAAAGTGCAGTTGCAATGTAAAATCAAGAGCGGATAGTGCCGATTCGAACGCGCGCTGGGGCAGTGCGAATTTTCAAAAATTTGAGCTGGCTCTGTGAAAATCCGAGTTGAAGCGTTCGTGTTCGCACCGATTTCACTTGCCGATTATTTGTTTAATTTTTCACCTAATCTTCAAATTGATAAATTATAATTTATCATCAAATATTATTTTTTTTACTTATGTGTCTGTAGGCTATCCATATTTTATTTTCTTTTCCGGAATTTCTATTTTACAATTTACAGAAATAGTGTTAAATGATGAAAATGAGCCAATAGTTATGGAAGATGCCAAAAGACGCCAAAGAAAGACCGATTTCAAAATTGATGTTATTTTATCATAAAAAATCCAATGCAATCTACTTGCACCGCCAAAAATTACAGTTCCAAAAAGTTCGAACGCTGGATGAACCAAGCTAACAACCCGAACACAAATTATTGCTCTGCCCGCGCTCGGCTCGGGTAGTCGAACATGGGAAATATTTGCTCGCTTATGAGCTGAATCAACCCGAACATAAATTATTGCACTGCACTCGCAAAATGCGAGCTGAGTGCGCACTAGTGCAGGTAGTCGAATACGCCATTAATCATTCGCTTCTGCTTCGGAATTGTCGGTTTTCTTGTTTTAATCTGACAGGTTAACTAAACCGACAATTCCGGAAGCAGAAGCGGATGATTAAAACGCACCTGATATTTTGCTTGCTGCTGTCAGTGTCAGTGAATATTATTTTTGAAGTCACAGTTTATTGCTAAAGAATCAGTTAGCTCACTCGGACCAGTTGAAAGTTCCAAAATAACATCCACTCCAGGGATACAAATTCAGGATACGCAGAAGACTGCTGTTTTATTATAGGCGGTTGTCATATATTGTATTATCCGAGTTGCACAGTGTATAAACTGAAACATTGAGATCCAAAGTTCCGACGCAGAGTGAGCGATCTGATTCTTTAGCTGTAAACTGTGTCACAGGGTTCAAAATGGCCGCGCCCTATGTTGGGCGTGTCGGACCTCTCTCTTGCCTCGTATAATGTGGTAGTAGTGCATCTCACTTGTTAAAGAGTTGGCACCACATACTTTGAATTTCTTTTTTTGTGGTTGGCACTAAGTTTGCAGCGCTAAAATGCGTATGTGTCTGGCCGCTCAACTAACTCGATATGGCGGTAAATTCAAATATAATTTTAAGGCGAAATTTAAATTTCCCGCCATAATCGTAACTTTCCAGCAGCGGAATGGCGGGAATTTTTAAATATATTCATTCGGCAATAATTGAGAAGTATATTGCATGTTCGATTAAACGAGCTGTAAATCGAGGCGCTATTTTTATTTTGATAGCTAAAAATAATACTATAATTCTTTTAATGTTAGCTATTAAAATAAGAGCAGCATTTGGATTAACAACACATTTAAAAGAACATGTAATATACTTTTCAATTTTACCTGAATCACTTATTTTTTACCTATAGGGGTTAGATCTGAAAAAAATTGGCTCTGGTAAAAAAAAACAAAAAATTGTATACCTAAAGTATTTTATTTGAAAAATTATAAAACTTATTTAATTTATTTTAAAGTCGAGGATAACTCTAGCCATATCCACTTTACTGAAAAAAAAAGAAACTATTAAATGAAATCATTTAGTTATTAAGGGCAAGTTCAATTTCGTTTGACATACTATCACGATTTTTTTTAGGTTAGAAAATTGTATTGTCGATTTTTTTCATTCGAAGTAATACAAGACATCACTTTAAATTTCTATCTCTTTATGTCAACAAATATGTAACACGATGAATTTATAAAACGTATGTCACTAATGAATATGTAGCGGCAACTGACGGCAACACTGTCAGCTACTCCATGGGTACTAGAGTACATACAGGTCCGGTATAAGCACATACTTTGATTTTCGTATAAGCCATATATAAATGGAAAATAATAATTTAATGTTTTGATTGAGTTAAATAAAATATCAAAATTAAATGTTTATTTTTTAGTAAACGACATTTTTAAATGTATACGTCTTCAATCAAAAATAATATAGGCTTAGGATGAGATTACAGAACTTTGCAGATCTACAAATATGGCGGACTTACAGATGCAAGTATCCAAAAAATATCTGAAATTCGCAATATTTATTACCCCTAACAACACTAAATCCAAATCCACCCTTAAGAAGGTTAGAACATCCTACAACCATGAAGTATTCTTTTTCTTTTGATTGAATACAGTTCATGGTGTCAGATTATCGAGTTTTTAAACATAGTTAAGGATTTTTGTTAAATGTTGTTGGGGGTAATAAACCACAATATATATTGCGAATTTGCAGATCTTTTTTGGAAAACGAAAACTTGATACATGCATATGTAAGTCCGCCATATTTGCAGATCTGCAAAGTTACCGCCATATTTGCAGATCTGCAAAGTTACCGCCATATTTGCAGATCTGCAAAGTTACCGCCATATTTGCAGATCTGCAAAGTTGCAGACGTTTTGTAATCTCACCCTAATACTCAAGTGTATACGAGTGTACTGGACAAGAGATAATTTTACCCTTTACTCCAGTTTTTTGTAATGAAACCAGCGGTAAAATAGATATTTGTGTACCAAGGCTGTGTTTTGGCCGAATTAGACATATGCGTTCGAGTCTAAGCTAGGTCTGGTTACGTATAAGAGTAATAGGCAAGAAACGGGTGTTCAGTCAAACTTGACATCGAGATAGATGTCACATAAGCAGGTGTACTGCAGATGAACTTTGCAGGACCAAGCATCAGATATTCTGAAAACTATGCATACTACACTGAATAAGAACGAATGGAAGTGTCAGAAGGAGGCTAAAGGCAAAAAATAGACGGAACAGAGCCGAATAGATAGATAAGTAATATTTTAGCCAAGAGGGAGTCGATAAGTGTTATAAATATAGTTAATTTATGAATGTATTTTTAATGTATAATTTCAGTTTATTTTCATTTTTGGTATAAAACTATGGCTGACATAATAAAACTCTTAAAAGTATATATATTTTCAATCTTTATTACTATACATTATTTCGTTTTCATTTATTCTCTCTGATCTAAGGAAAAGGTTAGAAAACCCTGGTCATAATTGTTTACAATGTTGGTGTTCCTAATGATACAAAACATTACAGAGGAATGATACTTAGCCGATGAAATCTCATCGAGTTCACACATGACGTATTGTGGTATGGAATATGGCTATCTCTGATGCATCTGCAGATTTAAATTTATTTTTTCGTACTGTTTTCTATCAACTGATACCCCAAATTTATACAAGCCACATCTTCGCACCACAATGTGACATAGCATCAAATCTGCTTAATCTCGTACCATTTTTTTTAAGTATCAAGGATATTCTTGGCAGGGCCGCCGAGAGCCAGGCCGGGCTCCAGGACAATACTCTAGATCGAGCCCCGTGACAATAAAAAGCTCCTCAAACAAAAACTTTTCCTCTTCTACTTGTATTGAATTTTCTAAACAAAAAGGTCCTCAAGCAAAAACTTTTCCTCCTCTACTTGAATTGCTTTTTCTAAAAAAAAAGGCTTCAAGGCAAAAAACGTTTCCTCCTTTACTTGAATTGCTTTTTCCTAAAAAAAAGGGCCCTCAAGCTAAAACTTTTCGTCCTCTACTTAAATTGAGTTTTCTAAAAAAAAAAACCTCCCCAACCAAAAACTTTCCCACTTGTCTTCTGTCG